GCAGGTTCGATCCCCGGCTGCTCCCCGGCCACTGGAGGAGGGTCCCACATGGTGCGCAGACCTCTCCTGCCGCCCGCTGCTCCCCTCAGCAGTGTACTTCAGTCCTTCTGCCTGCTCTGCTCCCTGCTCTGGTGAATTCTCTCACCCTCCAGCGCTTCTGACTGTACCCAGTGCTTGTATAAATAAATAAATAAATAAATCTTTAAAAAAAAAAAAAAGAATTTTATAACCAGCTAAACTAATGCCCACGTTTGAGGGTGTTAAAGACATTTATAGACATATTGAGCATATATGCATGTATCTTGTAATATGAGTATCTTTTATTCCTATTCTAAAAATTAAGTCTTTATGTTAAAGCCCTAATAATATTTGGTGTTTGATCCTGCTTCCTGACACAAAAGTGTCTAAAAACCTTCTGAGTGATAGGGATGAAAGGAACAATCAACATCTTTGATGTTATGCTAATTAGGTAACCCTTGATAGTCCCTAGATAGCTTCAGGATGTGGCTGGCTATTAGAAGAACCAACCATGTGATTAGGAGGTTCAAACTGTCACCTCCATTTCTCAGTCTCTAGGGAGGGTAGAGAGGCTAAAAGTTGTAGAGGTTAAGCTAATTCCCAGTGACCAATGATTTAACCAGCCAAGCCTACATAATTGGACTGCCATAAAAACCCAGGACAGTGGGATTTGGAGAGCTTATGCATTGGCAAATGCATCCCTGTGCCAGGAAAATACTATACTCAAATTTTATAGGACCTTTCTACCCCTCACCCTTTGTATCTCTTCATCTGCTATTCTTTTGTATTTTTTTTTAAAGATTTATTTATTTATACAAGAACAGGGGTACAAGCCAGAGGCGAAGGAGGGTGAGAGAATTCACCAGAGACAGAGAGGGGAGCAGAACGGGCAGACGGACTGAAATACACTGCTGAGGGGAACAGCGGGCGAGACAGGAGAGGTCTGCCCCAACATGTGGTTATCTCCCTGGTCGGCCGGGATTGAACCCGCACTGCAGAGGCTATGGACATTTTCACTGCACTTTGCTAAACCTGCTGCATCACTGGGGAGGCCCTATTCTTTTGTATTCTTTATAGGATCCTTTCTAATAAATCTGCAATAGTAAACTTCCCTGAGTTCTATGAGCAGTTCTAGAAAATTATCTAACCTGGGGAAGTAGTTGTGAGGAGCACCCCTTCTCCCACCCTAATTTTATAGCTGGTCAGTCAGAAGTACCACTTAGTACTCAGACTTGCAATTGGCATCTGAAACAGGGACTAAACTCTTAACCTGTGGAGTCTAGATAGTTAGCATGAGAATAAAATTAAATTGTAGGACACCATTTGATGTCTATAGAGTTGGAGAATTAGTTGTAAGAAAAAAAACATACTCTTTTATCAGTTGTGCTGTGAGTAGTTTGTGAGAACACACCACCAGAACAAGGAGAAAACCAAGAAGGATTAAGTGGAATACAGGAAACAGGGATTCCAATATAGGTAAGGTGAAAGGAACTCCCAGTAAGGTAGATTTCCGATAGAGATGTCTCAACATCTCCCTGACGGGGAGAAACACTAATGATAAAGGATTAATCACAAAAATCTACAAGGAGCTGAAGAGACTCAACAAAAACAAAGTAAATAATCCAGTCAAAAAATGGGCAGAAGAGCTAAAAAGGAGGAAATGCAAATGGCCAACAGGCATATGAAAATATGTTCAGCATCACTTGTAATCAGGGAAATGCAAATCAAAACTACAACGAAATGCCATCTTACACCAGTGAGAATGGCACATATTAAAAAAACTAACAACAACAAATGTTGGTGAGGATATGGAGAAAAAGAACTCTCTTGCACTGCTGGTGGGAGGGCAAACTGGTCCAACCACTGTGGAAAGCTGTGTGAAGATTTCTCAACATGCTAAAGATGGAACTTCCATATGATCCAGCAATTCCACTCCTAGGTATTTACCCAAAGGACACAGAATCATTAATTCCAAAGGGCACCTGTACCCCTATGTTTATAGCAGCACTATTTACAATAGCTAAGCTATGGAAACAACCCAAATGCCCAAAACTAGATGACTGGATCAAGAAGCTGTGGTGTGTATACACAATGGAATATTACTCAGCAATCAAAAAAAGATAAACTCATGCAATTTGCAGCAACATGGATGGAGCTGGAAGGGATGCATTTAGAAAACCTAAATAAAAGACCAGGAAAAAGACTAATTATAATAAAGTAAAAATCAAAATCAATAAGCAGCTATAAACCAGAAACACACTATGGAGGTGGGGAGGGGAGGAGCGATTAGGGTCAAAATAAGAGGTGTGAAAATTGTGTGGGGAATTTAACCAAGATGAAAATGCATACATTGTGCAAAAATGAAAAATGATGTAAAAAATGTATAAAATAAAAAGATCACCTAAATAAATATCTCAAGAACAAGCAGATAACAAAGGGTACCTGCTTGATCATAAAAAAGGAGTTTTAAACCTTTTTATTATCTACAGGAAAAATTTAAATCACACAGTAAAGGAAATACAATCATAGTGTTCATCTGGCTTGGCTACAGGTAATATTCATATAGATCTAATAATGCAACTCTTAATCTAACCAGCATTTGATATAATTATATCAAAAAGATGGAAAAAGTAGAGCAAAAAGAGAAGATCAACAAAATCCTAATCGTCCATAATAAGAATTAAATAGGTACTATTATTATCTTTTTTTTTAAAGATTTATTTATTTACACAAGTGCTGGGTACAGTCAGAAGTGCAGGAGGGTGAGAGAATCCACCATAGCCAGAGCAGGAAACAGAACAGGCAGACTGATGAAATACACTGCTGAGGGGGCAGCGGGCGCGGCAGGAGAGGTCTGTCCCGCCAGGTGGGACCCTCACCCGGTGTCCAGGGATCGAACCTGCTCAGCAGAGGCTGCGGGCAGCTTCGCAACCCAGTGTTCAACCGCTGCGCCAACCAGGGGAGGCCCATTATTATCTTTTTTTTTTTTAAGATTTATTTATGCATACAAGAACTGGGGTATAGGCCAGAGGTATGGGAGGTGAGAGGATTCACCAGAGACAGAGTGGGGAGCAGAACAGGTGGACCAACCGACCGAAACACACCACTGAGGGGAACACCACTGAGGGGAGCAGTAGGCGAGTCAGGAGAGGTCTGCTACACCACGTGGGTGTCCCCCAGCTGGGGATCAAACTCGTGATGCAGTGGCCACAGATTGCCTCATAGGTTGTGTCCCAACCCCTTGTGCCACCAGGGAGGTCCCCCATATTATCTTTTACTACGTAACAAATTACTCCAAAACTTGGTAAATTAAAATGACAAATATTTACTATTTTACTGTTTCTGTAGCTCAGGATTCAGGAACATTTTAGAGATCTCTCATGATGTTGCAGTCCACCTGTCACCTTGGGCCAAGGTCATGAAAAGTCTTGACTAGCACCGGGGCCGCCTCTTTCAAGCTCACTCAGGTAGCTGTAGGAGGGGGACTCAGTTCCTTCTCATGTGGGCCTGTTCTCAGGATTTGTTACCTGGCTTCCCCCAGAGCAAGTTATCTAGGACAGAGAAGAAAAATTCACAGTACATTTTATAACCTAACCTTGAATGTGACATACCGTCATCACTTCTATATTCTGTTGGTCACACAAGCCAATCCTGAGACTGTGAGAAGGCACTACACAAAGGCAGGAATTGTTGAGGGCTATTGGGACACTGACTACCAAAGGTAATAACTAAAAGTGAAACATTCAAGAAGTAATACTATTGTTACATTATTTAGAAAGGTGGAGATAAATATGAGAAGAAACATTGACCCTGGGAGCAGGAATCAGGGAATCAGAAACTACCGGATTTCACTTTAAGCCTTAAAGAACAACTTTAAGTAGAGCAACACTTGGATTATAAGAGGAACTAGTAGCAGCTGAATCTGGTATGTGTCAGTAGGCATTTGGAAGATCGTGTGTGTGATAAGGATAGTTGATAGACAATAATCCTATAGTTCCGTGAAAAGGAGGGCATTGTGACGGAACATGAGCTAAGATCCTTGAATAAAGATGGGCACGTAGAGATGAGCATCAGGTAGTGAATTTTCTGACATTTCACTGCTATGGATCCTGGATGAACAAATAAAAACTGATCTTTCTGCAGAGTGTAAAGTGCTTAAGTGAAAATGTTTATGTGGCTTGGAGCTAAAAATGGCAAAGTTTATTAAAGGGAATATTAAAGCTTAATAAATGGCAGATAGTTGGAAAGCACTTTATAGAACTTCCCATGCTAGGGATGTTTTGGTGAGAGTTTGATACAAATTGGAGAAAGAAACTGCCTCTGTCCCTGCAAGAACCATGGGCCTGAGCCCCATGGATACTTAAAGCACTGGCCAATCCACAGCAGCACAGCTGCTGCAGCATCATTTTCCTAACAGCAATTCTAGGCTCCTTGTGGTCTACCACAACCCGGATGGTGCCCAGAGACCCACCAATTTTTGTTCCTATGATACCTGATATGTTCCTTATCCCTGTGTGTGCCCCCTATTGAAGTCTAGCCGTGTTTGTTCTTATCTCTTCGTGTCACGATGTATTTACTCTTCTTGAAGAACCTACTGATAGGATTCTCAGTGTTCTTGGGCAGTTTGTCCATTCCATTTACCTTCTAATAAAACTGAAATCAGGATATGGTTGAAGATATCAAGTCTTTCTTTGAGTGAGGAGGGATGCAGTGACAACTGCCCTATAAGTAAAAGTTACAACTCAAAGCATTCAGGCTTATATTTTTGAACCATTTTAATATCTCATTAAAACATTACTGTAACTGAGTATATTGAATTTAGAATACATCACAGCACCATGATAAAGCTGGCTGTCATTTACTAGGATGCCTTGTGTAACATTGTGATGTTGGCCAGAGGGTTCAGCTGTGGAGGGGGCAGGTTGGATTTTTTAAATTTTGTGTTCCTCAGTACCTATCTTTGTATTTTACTTTGCCCACAGATTGGGGACCACAAATTCAGTGCTCACCGGATCGTCTTAGCAGCCTCAATCCCGTACTTCCACGCAATGTTTACAAATGACATGATGGAGTGCAAGCAGGATGAGATTGTAATGCAAGGAATGGACCCAAGGTACTAAATTCCACCATTAGGTTCCACAGGCTACTGTCCAGGTACAGCTTCAGCCTTGTGCTTTAATGCCATTGAGGGCCTGCAGAAGGTAATAGCATCTAGCACAGCTCTACACACATAGTAGGCAATTAGTAAATAAGTTGGACCCTCACCTGGTAGCCTAAAATGGCCAAGATGAGATTTTTAATGCTGATTTTACTCTGTTAGAGCAACACATTTAATAGGAACTGGAATCGAAGAAAATTACTTAAACTAGGACTGTATATAAAGGTGGCAGTATATATTGTTCTCTGCACTTTTCTATGCTAGCAATTTTATTTGGCGAAGGTTTTCCAAATAAGTGTCTTCATTTGTTACCCTGCTCCTCAGTCTAGAACAGTGTTGTCATTAGAACTTTCTGCAATGATGGAAATTTTCTGTTCACTCCAAAATGAGTAGCCACTAGCCATATGTAGCTATTGAATATTTTAAATGTGACTAGTAGGGCTGAGAAACTGAATTTTACATTTTGTTTCAAATTTTTTTTTAATATTTTTTAGTTCTCCCATCACCAAAGCACCCATGATCCACCAGCACAGTCCATTGTGGTCTCCCCCATTTCCATTTTCTCCCCTCCCCCACATTTTATTTAATTTTAATTTAATTGTAATTTTAAACAGCCGCATGTGGGCAATGGCTACTACAACACAGGTCTAGAAGGTGGTAGATATTGTAGTTATTTGATGGATAAGAAAATTGAAGCCCAGGGAGGTCAAGCCCAAAATTATCTTTCAGTGACCAAAACAGCCCTCCATGACAAAGAATTATTAACCCCAAATGTCAGTAGAACCAAGGTTGGAAATTCTGCCCTGGTCAGGATGTGGTATCATAACTGCAAAAATCATATCCTTTAGGTGCTGTTCTTACATCTAGAGTCACTTAGTGCTAGACTTTCTTCATGGAAATACTTTTCCTATTTCTTCATGAAGACTTTGTATAAATATTTCATAGTATTCCTTTTTGGTCCTTGAAAGAAAAAAGGCATGTTGATGTATCTTAAAAGGCTTTGCTGCAAGGCTGTGAACTGAGGCTATATGTTTGTAATCTAAACTGTATCCAAGGGTCCACTGCTCACCTACTATGTGCCTGCATTGTTCTGAGGTCTGGGAAATCAGCAGTAAGACATACCAAGTGACTCAGGGAAGTGACGTCTCGTATGCGCGTGCGGAAACAATAAACAAACCAGTGACTCCACAACATTAGTCAGTAACCTAACATTTGTTGCCTAACTTCTTAATCTCATAATAGTGAAAACTAGGGGAAAGGAGCTTGGAGACTGTGGTAACGTTTGGATGATTGAAGGTGATCTGCCCCAGTACATGGGGAGGATTTATATCCCTACTGCAAGGCAGGGATCTCAGGTCAGCTACTTGTGAAGAAAGACACAAGTGGATCTCCAGGAACAACTGTACACACTCTTCTGTGAGGTCTATATCCAAAGGAGCCATGCTAATCACAATGCACACTCTGGGTACTTCATTTAACAGAAATACACTGAGCACCTGTGAGTTTGCTGCTGTGGGCATTGAAGTATAACAGTGATAAAACAGAAAGCACCTCTTTTCATTGGTCTGATTTTCTCGTACAAAAGAATTGACAATAAACAAATACATGCGTGGTGTGACTGGGAAGTGAAAGTGATATGAGATAAGTAAATCAAAGTAAAATCTAGCAAATGATGGTGGGGGTCTGTGCTATTTCAGGGTGATCAGGGAAGGCCTCTTTGATGAGGTGATTTGAGTCAAGACCTTAATTGAAGTGAGGGAATGAACCATCTGGGGAAAGAACCCTCCAAACAGAGAGAGCAGCCAGTACAAAGGCCCTAAGGTGAGAGTGTGATCAGTATTTTGGAATAGAGGGAGGGTTGGGGAGGAGAGTGGAGGTGATGACATCAGTCAGAGGCCAGACCACATCCAGTTCTACTGATTTCATCCTCAGTGTGAATTAGAAGCCAGGGAAAATGTTGGAAATTTCACTCTGGAAATTTATCCCAGCTTTATTTATAAAGCAAAAGCTTTATTTATGAGGCAATAAGATACTAATAGCTGTTATGCCTACTAATAAAGGAAATACATTTTAGCATATTTAGATGTTGGAATGCTGTATAGCAGCCATTAAAAATGTTAAACATGAAAACAGTGTAGAACACTGGAAAGAGCATAAGTTTTATATGATTATATTCATACAATTTATAGATGCAAGCAAATGGGGAAATAACCACCTTTGATTCATTCAATAGCAAGTTCGTGAAAAATTACTTTCTCTTGTAGAATTTAATAGAATTATTTTGATATAAAGACAACTTACAAACTAGCATGAGTCTTTGTGATGAAGCACTTATTCCATTCAGGTAAATTCTTAAAGGGCATGTGTTGAGTGGATATTAGAGTAGGGCACGCTCATTCCCCAGGCAATAATGTTAGCTCACTTAGGGCCTGAGTCTCCTATGAGCCAAGACTCATCTCTAAAGAACATCTTTTTCTTTTATCTCAGTGCGCTGGAGGCTCTCATCAACTTTGCCTACAATGGTCATCTTGCCATTGACCAGCAAAATGTCCAGTCACTGCTGATGGGAGCGAGCTTCCTGCAACTGCAGAGTATCAAAGATGCATGCTGCACGTTCCTCCGAGAAAGGTGAGGTGTGATGGGCCTGACCTGTGGTGCAGAGCATGACCATTTCTTTTCTGGAATCCCTGGTTGCTGAGTCTTTGAGCCACCTAGACTTCTTTGAGGGTAGTGGGCTGAGGTCACTCTATAGAAATGACATATTTTTGGAATCAGTATCTAGTGCCCACCTCTTTGGGATGAACATTTGACATTTTAGGGTTTATGGAGCTTTGCCTGCACTGTGTCTTGGCCTGACGTATACCTCTTCTAATCCTCTCTTCAGTCTGACCAGCCACTGAATTAACTGACTCTTCTCACAAGCCAGTTTATTCCTTGCTCACTAACTATTCCACATACATCTCTCTCTGTTTAGATCCTCCTTCCTTCTTGATTTCTTGACCTTTTTATGTTAGCTCTTTAAAAAACCACCCAAATCACCCCCTGGGATTCTCTGTCCCTCTCAGTCTCTTGGCAACAATTCACTGTTCTTGTAGGGTGAGAATCATGGATTGTACCCCTACCTGTGTCTAGTATTTGCCAGTGACTTAAAAAAAAAAAAAAGATTTATTTATGCATACAAGAACTGGGGGGTAAGACAGGGGTGCAGGGGGGGAGGTGACAGAATTAACCAGAGAGTGGGGAGCAGAATAGGCAGATCCATTGAAATACACTGCTGAGGGGAGCAGGGGGCGAGGCAGGAGGGGTCTGCCTTGCCATGTGGGTTACTCCCTGGCCAGCTGGGGATCAAACTCGTGCTGCAGTGCCCAGAGATAGCTGGATAACATTGTCTTTAACCCCTGCGCCACCAGGGAGGCCCGCCAGTGACCTTTTAGTGACTAATCGGATAAGAAACCTCTTAGTCCTCTTCAAGGCTCTGCGCTTTTAGTCATAAGATAAAAGCCACCTTTTAGCCACGAGAGGCTTGGGGGTGAGGATTTGTGCAGGTCTATGTACAGACAGGAAGAAACCAGAACAGTACCCATGAGGTGTCTGTGTACTGTGTGAGGCGCAACCTTCACCTAAGCTACTCTAATCACAAAGCCTCAGGCTTGATGACCAGCATTCTTCCTGCCTCAGATCTGCTCTCACTCACAGATGTGATATGCCTCCCTCCCCTCCCCACTCTACCTATGTAGTTCAGTTGGCAGCTCTATGAACCCTGTGTTGTCCACATCCTGCCCATGTAGTGGTCATGGGTGCCACTGAACATTGCTATGTGTGCAACTGGTCATAATAACTGTGGTAATGATGCCTACAATGCGGGCACTCCTCTCCTGGGTACAGAGTGAATGGTCTCAAGGTCAAGGAGGTAATCCTGTTCTGGGCTTACAGATGGTGGCTGTGTGGTAAGGGTGCAGCACTAGAGCCAGGCTTGTCCCTGCCCAGAGATACAACTTCTCAGCAGACTAAAGGGATGCATATGGGTGTATAGGGCATACGCCATCTTTCCTACTCATTTGTGAACTTTTTTTTTAAAGAGTTATTTATTTATACAAGCAATTCATAAATAAATTTATTTATTTATTTATACAAGAAAAGATACTTAAGCACACAAAACCTGTTGTTTGACATTTTTTCATTCAACCCTTCAGAAGCATGTGAGGGTGAGAGAATTCACCAGAGCCAGAGCAGGGAACAGAACAGGCAGACTGACGAAATACACTGCTGAGGGGAGCAGCGGGCACGGCAGGAGAGGTCTGCGCGCCATGTGGGACCCTTGCCAGTGGCCGGGGATTGAACCGGCACCACAGAGGCTGCGGGCAACTTCGCAGCCCAGTGCTCAACTGCTGTGCCACCAGGGGAGGCCCATCATTTGTGAACTTCTTAAGAACACAGATTCAACTTGGTTCATCTCTGTGTTCCCACAGAACTTTGGAGAATGCTTAAGTAGGCATTCTGGAAAGTATTATATTGGCCATTCTCACCAAGGGGATAACAGCTCCACCTAGGGGCCTTTGAGGCCGTCATTGTCAACTCTGGATTCAATCTCTCCTATAAAGAAGTGTCACCTAAAGGTGCTTAGAAGAGTGATTTTTTTAGACCAGTGCAGTTTTTATATGCACCAGTGACATTTTGGGAAAAGATACTTAAGCACACAAAACCTGTTGTTTGACATTTTTTCATTCAACCCTTCATGATCTCTTTTAAAGCCTAAACTCACACCTGATTTCTGTTCTTATTCCCTGCCACAGGCCCCAGGGGCTTGGTCTGTTTTCTGTTTTCCCTCCAGCAGTTACCATCACTACGTCTGTCCTTTGGGGTGGTTCTCCCTTGTGCCTGCCTGCATAGTATGATGGAGTCTTTGCAAAGGAACTCTCTCCCTCCTCTGTGCCCTTGAAAAGACAAGTGTGTGTACACTTTGGTCTTAAGATTTGTTTACTAATGATTTGAGGGGAACCATTCTGAGGAGTAGAGGAAAAAAAAAGGCTGGCCCCAGCAGAATAAAGAGAAGCTGCAAAATTGTCATAGTTCTTGAGACTATTCTGCCTGCTAGAGCCTTAGTCTGCTGATTGTTTTTTTTTTCCCCATGACATGTTATTTGACACATGACTGAGCTGACATTGTGCTCTTGAGCCCTGTGTTCCTTACTGGCCATGCTGCCTTGCTTGTGTGTTGCTCAGTGCTTATGTGTCTTTGGTCTTTGGAAATTCACATAGGTTTCCAAAACAATGAACAGGGTCAGTTGAGACTGGAATGAAAATACCTGTGTAGAGTGTAGATTTGTCACAAAGTCAGGCTATTGCGATGCTCTACCCTTTCAGTTCCTTGACAGGTCTGTTGCAAGGGGACAGTGGTGAATACTGATTAGTAAGTAAAATTCTGGGCCTTTAACCTTAAATTAACATGAAGGAGAAAGAACGAATAAAAAAGAATTAAGACTGGGTAATTCTAATCTGATAAATACCATCTCCTGCCATAGATTATGAGTCACATGACCCCCGAGGGGCTGCTGCTGTCACCAAGATTTCAGAACTATGTGAGCTTGTTTGGAATTTTCTTGGATGTCATAGTAGTAAGAAAAATAACCTTGGTCAAAAATTAAAACAGCAAGTAACTTCATACCAGGCACCTTGATGAGTATGTTTTCTTGCATTCTTACTTAATCCTGGCCACAGCCCTAGGAGGAGGGTAGCTGTTGTCATTACCTTTTTCCAGGTGAGGCTCTTGACACTTGAGGAGCCAAGGTGCCAGAGCCACCAGTGAGCAGTAAGGCCAGGGTTTACACTGGTTTCCCAGTGGGGATGTGGGGATGTATACAAGAAGTTGATATTTAATCTCAGTACCACCATTTGCTTGCAGAGGGACTGTGAGCACATTTCTTAGTTTCTCTGAACCTCACTTTTCCAGCTAAAAATGGGAGCAGTTACTACTTTTTGGCTTGTTAAAAAACATTCTGAAAAAGGGGACTCCCTTGTGGCACCAGGGTTAAAGTTTCAGCACTATCAAGCTATCACTAGCCACTGCAGCATGAGTTTGATCCCCAGCCAGGGAGATAGCCCACATAGCACAGCAGACCTCTCCTGTCTCCCCTGCTGCTCCCCTCAGCAGTGTATTTCAGTAGATCTGCCTGTTCTGTTCCCTACTCTGTCTCTGGTGAATCCTCTCACCACCACCACTCCATCCCCCCAGCCTATACCCCAGTTCTTATATGTATAAATAAATAAAAATAAATCTTTAAAAAAACATTCTGAAAAATACGTATGAAAGGCATGTCAAAGTGCTTACCTCACTGATAGTGCTAAATAGCAACAGGCACTGATTTGTTTCTAAATATTTGAATAAGTATACTTACAAAGCCTTTCCCTGTTTTTGAGGAAAGGAAAAAGTATAAGGGTTCCCATGTTAGAGAAGTCATCTCTCCACATGATTTAAATTCTCATTCTACAATTTCAGTGCTCTTCTGGTAATCATAGGTGTATACTCAACCAAGAATGTCCATAGCTGAAGGAAAACAGACAGGTTTTCCATTATTCTTCTTTTCTGATCGCTGCTTGGTAGGACTTCCCAGAGAACTCATTCCACCTAGAAATACGGAGCACAAGGCCAGAGAGGCAGCAACCTTTGAGAATAATCTTTTTCAATTTTACGCTTTCATAAGTTGAGTCTCAAAGAAGTATGCCTGATGTCATTCAGGGAGTTTCCAACAAAGCAGAGGACAAAGCCTATTTTTGTCATCTGTGACTCTACCCATAACCATCATGAGGATGATGGAACATACTTAGTTCATCTAAAGTTTTTCTTTTTTCTTATCCAAAAGGCTTCATCCAAAAAACTGCCTGGGTGTGCGCCAGTTTGCTGAGACAATGATGTGTGCTGTGCTGTACGATGCGGCCAACAGCTTTATCCACCAACACTTTGTGGAAGTATCCATGTCAGAGGAATTCCTGGCCCTGCCCTTGGAGGACGTACTTGAACTGGTGTCTCGGGATGAGCTGAATGTAAAGTCAGAGGAACAGGTCTGTAGAGGCCAGTAGCAGTGTGTGGATTAGTGACTGCTGCTTTTCCTAGTCTTTATTATTATTTATAAAACAAAGATCATGATGTGTATGCACATGTTGTTAATTATGGGTTTACTCTATCATGTACATTTTTCATGAAAACCTTTATACATTTTAGTGTCTAAATAATACTAAGTTGTTTTTATTGACTGTGGGACCCTTATTTTTGGATGTTAGGGTTATTTCCAATATTTACTATTAAAAATAATGTTTTTGTGAACTGGAAATAAGTGTAGATAACTTTAAGAGTCACATTTTAAAGGAGTAGAATATTTGGGCAGTCCCTATAGAGGCATATGAAATCAATGTGAGTATCTTGATTTTTTGGTTTGTTTTTTAAGATACATAATGGCTAAGGCACTTAACCAGTATGACAACAAAAAATAATTATAAGGATCATGAAGTGTGTTGGCTTTTCTTAAACTTCTGACTATATGGGCCTCCCTGGTGGTGCAAGGGGTTAAGACACAACCTATAAAGCTATCCGCAGCCTCTGCAGCACGAGTTTGATCCCCCGGCCAGCCAGGGAGCAACCCACATGGTACAGCAGACCTCTCCTGACTCGCCTGCTGCTCCCCTCAGCAGTGTATTTCAGTCAGTCCTCCTGTTCTGTTTCACAGTCTGTCTCTGGTAAATCCTCTCACCCCCCATGCCTCTGGCCTGTACCCCAGCTCTTGTATGCATAAATAAATAAAAATCTTTAAAAAAACAAAAACTGCTGACTATAAAAATGTACTATATATTGTTGTTACTTTTTTTCCCTATTACCATTCCATATATTCCTTTCACCCTCTCTTTATCCCTCTTTCCTCTTAACTTTCTACATCTCACTGTGTTCATTAGTGTCTGCTAGGTTTGTTTTAAATATTTTGCTTTGTCAATTGGTTTGGTATGTAAGTGTCCAGTATATGTCATTCTGACCTGGTTTACTGCACATAATTCTCTCAAACTCCTTCCATTTTACTATAAATGACATTTCATCATTCCTTATGGCTGAATAGTATTCCATTGTTGGATATACCACATCTTCTTAATCCCGTCCTCTGTTAGTGGGCACTCTGTCCTAGCTATTGGTCATAGCACTGCAATAAACATTTGTAGAGCTTATAATTTTTTTTTAATATTTATTAGTCTTTTATTTTTATTTATGTATTTATTTTAAAGCTTTTACTTTTTTTTTTTTAAAGATTGATTTATTTATTTACTTAACAAGCACTGGGTACAGTCAGAAGCGCGGGAGGGTGAGAGAATTCACCAGAGCCAGAGCAGGGAGCAGAACAGGCAGAAGGACCGAAGTACACTGCTGAGGGGAGCAGCGGGCAGCAGGAGAGGTCTGCGCGCCATGTGGGAAACCTCCTCCGGTGGCCGGGGAGCAGCCGGGGATCGAACCGGCACCGCAGAGGCCTTGGGCAGCTTCGCAACCCAGCGCTCAACCGCTGCGCCACCGGGGAGGCCCGAGCTTATAATTTTTTTTAAAGATTTATTTATTTATGCATACAATAGCTGGGGTGTAGGCCAGAGGTGTGGGGGAGGGTGAGAGGAATCACCAGAGACACAGTGGGGAGCAGAACAGGTGGATCTACTGAAATACACTGCTGAGGGGAGCAGCAGGTGAGACAGGAGAGGTGGGTTAGCTGCCTGTCTGGGGATCGAATTCATACTGCAGTGGCTGGTGATAGCTTGATAGTGCTGAGACTTAACCCTTTGTGCTACCAGGGAGGTCTGTTTTTTGGATTTCTTATGTATAATTTCATATCATCTGCAAGTAATGATAATTTCACTTCTTTCCCAGCCTGGATTTCCTTATTTCCCATTGTTACCTGATTGCTCTAGCTAAAACCTTTAAGACTAAACAGAAGTGACAGTGGACATCCTTGTCTTATTCCTGATAAAGGGAAAGCTCTCAGTTTTTCACCATTAAGTATTATCTTGGCTATTGGTTTGTGCTGTATGACCTTTATTTTTTTTTAAAGATTTATTTATTTATGCTCATAAGAGCTGGGGTACAGGCCAGAGATGCGGGGGGGTGTTAGAGGATTCACCAGAGACAGAGCAGGGAACAGAACAGGCAGACTGACTGAAACACATTGCTGAGGGGAGCAGCGGGTAAGACAGAGGTCTGCTGCGCCATGTGGGTTGCTCCCTGGTCAGCTGGATATCGAACTCGTGCTGCAGTGGCTGCGGATTGCTTCATAGGTTGCGTCCTAACCCTTGTGCCACCAGGGAGGCCCTGTATGACCTTTATATTGAGGTAGTTTACCTCTATGCCCATCTTGTTTAAACTTGTTATCATAAATGGGTGCTGAATCTTATCGAATCTTTTCTCTGCATCTATTGATATTCCCTTATGGTTTTTATCTTTTGTTGATGTAATTTATCACATTAATTTATGGATATTAAACTGTCATTGAAACCTTGGGATAAATCACATTTGATCATGATGTATATAATCTTTGCAATGTATTGTTGAATTTGATTTGCTAGTATTTTGTTGAAGATTTTTTTTATTAAAGCATTTGCAGTTTTACTTTTATTTATTTATTTTTAAGGATGTATTTATTTATTTATACAAGCACTGGGTACAGTAAGAAGCACGGGAGGGTGAGAGAATTCACCAGAGCCAGAGGGGAGAGCAGAGCAGGCAAACTGATGAAGTACATTGCTGAGGGGAGCAGCGGGAGGCAGGAGAGGTCTGCGCACCATGTGGGACCCTCGCCCGGCGACTAGGGATCGAACCGGCGCTGTAGAGGCTGCGGGCAGCTTCGCAACCCAGCACTCAACCGCTGCGCCAGCAGGGAGGCCCATTTTGTTGAAGATTTTTGCATCAATATTGGAATGTTAATATGTAGTTTTCTTGTGCTTTGTCTGATTTTGACATCATAGAATGTACTAGGGAGCATTTCCTTTTCTTGGATTTTTAGAAATAATTTGAATAAGATGGACATGAACTCTTCCTTGAAGATTTGTATAAAATTTATTTGTAAAGCCATCTGGCCCTAGGCTTTTGCTTTAGGGGAGCTTTATTAGTTTGGTGTGCTAAGAAGAAAAAAGAATGACCCTTTCTGTCCAACAAAGTTGTGGTGCAAGTTGTCTTAAGAGGATAGTAAGTCGCTGTTTGAGCAGAGAGACGAGAAGCCATGCACTGAAGGGTGTCAAATGTGGGGATGGGGAGTTTGGACCTTGCCGCACAGCACTGGGAGCCCTGCTGCTGCAAGTCCTCTGCCTATTTGGTCAGTCGGGAATGTAACCATAGTCCATAGCAGAGCAGCCTAGGATATTTGAAATCAAGAGTTCTGACTATCATGAAGCTGTGCTTCAGATGGGAGGAGTCCCAGGCTCCAGGAGACAAGCCACTGGGGCATTCAGATCTTTTCCTTAATCTCTGAAAAGCCCTCACCCCTGAATATTAGTTACTAGTAGAAAAGTAGATCCTGTACTTGGTTGTGTAGGCAGTGTAATTTTGAGGAGTCTCATCCCAAGAACAAGGAGTTCTGTCCCTGGTTCTACTATATGACCTGGGTGGCCACATTTATTGGTGTGATACATTCTATAAAGACTGTAGGTATTAGACGGTGATATCCTTGTAGCTAGAGCCATTAGGGAAGTTTCCTTAGAGAACATAGATCTGGAGCCAGACTTTAAAGAAAGGGGAGGAGATTTTGGGATGAAGAAGAGGAGTTAAGGAGTGGGTATCACAGGTGTAGAGGATAGACAGCTTGGCTAGAGAAGAGGGCGGTGGAGGGAATTTGAGAATAAGGTACAGGAGCATCAGGATGGAAGGTCACAGGCACTTAGTTGCTATATGAAAAGGAATAAGGAGCCATTGACAGGTTTTCATTAGGAAGTAATTTAAAAAGCCGGAAAGCTTTTGTGTTCTTAGGCTTTTGCTTAGGCTAAGTGGGGAAGCAGAGAGGAAATAGTGGGTTCAGGAGACAACTAGGAGGAAAGATGGATGAACACAAAGTACTGCCTAGGGAGTGGGGGGCTAACGTTCTGGGTGGGACACAGGGATGCAGCCTCTGAGTGAGAGAAGTTGCAGCTAGAGATTCTACTTTGCGTTGTGCAGGTCTTTGAAGCTGCTTTGGCCTGGGTCAGATATGACCGGGAACAGAGGGGTCCCTGCCTGCCTGAGCTGTTGTCCAATATCCGCTTACCCCTCTGTCGACCCCAGTTCCTGTCAGACCGAGTGCAACAGGATGACCTGGTGCGTTGCTGCCACAAATGCAGGTAAGCAAGAGTGGGCTTCACAGGATCCTCCTAAGGGTCTTGGCAAAAGAAGAGAACTTGGCCACTTAGACCATTTCTGTCCAAGCTCAGGGAAGGGAGGATTTGGAGTGGCCAGTCTTAATTTATGGCAGATAGTTTAATCTGCTTCTGCCTAGAACCTGGAAAGCCAGAGTCTTAACCCTCGGGCAGAGAAATGCCATGTAGAAGCATCAAAGCAAAAGGTGCTTCCTCTTCTAAGTTGTCTGAGGTTTTTTAGCATCTCCATTCATTGAGCTCTATGAATTTGTAAGGTGTCTGTCTATAGAGCTGACTTAGTAGTGACTTTGCAGGGCTCCTTGCCCTCATTGATCAGTGTGCTGGCCTCGGGAAGGTTTGCCCATCTACAGTAATGGGCAAGCGAGAGCACTTACACTGACATGTGAAACTTACCTAGAGGAAATCAATGATGTCAGCATAGCACAGCTACCAAAACAGCTCAGAGGATGGAAGCCCTGTAGGAGGATCATTATGTAAATCGAGCAACAGAAAAGAATGTTCATCTTTCCCCAGGTTGCTTGTCATTCACAACTAGTTCAGGAGAATGTCAGCTGTTTATTGCAAGGGATGAGAAATTATGTGTCAGGAAGGGGTGGAGGTATGACTGGAGGTAGCTGGAACTCTGATGAGCAGTCTCAAGGGTACTGTTGAAGAGTTTGAACTTTATAGACTTTATCTATAGGGTAGTTAGCAAAGATTCTTAGAAAGATAGCTTGCACTATAATGTGGAGGGGAAAATGGAAGGGTAGGACTGGAGGCAGAGAAATGCTTCAGAAGCTATTGGTTTCTGTTTCCACAGTCCAGGTGATTGGCAGTTAATTGCATCAATGTGAGTCATAGGGATGGAAAGGAAGAGCTGAACCTCAGTGGCCACAGGATTGCAGGCTGCTTGTTGAATCTCCCAACGCTAGCTATTTTAGTGACAACCCTGTTTTTTTCCAGTCAGGTACATGCCTGTGAGAAGATACTCATTCTGATCACAGTAGCCGAGGTGAGCTCTGCTCATCCTGTCCCTTCAGTTTTGAGTATGTCTCAGTAACCGTATGTGGTTTCCACTGGACTCACCTGGGTTCTTTGAGACCACAAACTTCCAGCAGGCTTCTCCTCCCAGGTCTCCCCTGTAACTGGCGATGGTAGCGTTAGACTTGGAAATGCAAACATGGACTACATGGGGAAGGTACCTCCTGTCCTAACCTCTTGCTTTATTCCAGGGACCTGGTAGATGAAGCAAAGGACTATCACTTTATGCCTGAGCAGCGCCGGCCCTACCTGCCAGCTTTCAGAATTCGGCCTCGCTGCTGCACTTCCATCGCTGGGCTTATCTATGCTGTGGGAGGCCTCAACTCAGCAGGTATCTTGCAACTCCCTTTTGTAGAATCCCATCTTGGACTCTGTGGTTGAGGAAGCACTAAATGACCTAGCCTGACTCTCTGGTTCCTCTTCTTTATGTGTCACTACCTTGTCCCTCTTGATTTTATGCAGTTGTTCTGCAGTTAGTACACGTCAGCTATTAATACCAGTGAATCAGACTATCAAAGCTAAATAGGCCTACTTTACATTTGGGGGAATTGAGGCCCAGAGAATTATGTTCCATCAAGTTTTAGCAGAACAAGGTCTCAAACTCAGGCCCTCATTGCTGAGCCAGCACACTTTCTTATTGCCATTTCATATGTGAGTGAGAATAGAAGATTGGGACACAAAGTAACTTGCCAGGCTCACTCACTAGTAAGTGGAAATCAACATTGGAGCCCACAGCCTTCCCTCTGGTCATGCCTCCTGCGCTGGGAAAATGGTGCATCCATTCACGTTCATTTTTATTTTTATTTTTTAAAGATTTATTTATTTATACAAGAACTGGGGTACAGGCCAGGGAGGGGCGGTGAGGGGTGGGGAGAGAGAATTCGCCAGAGACAGAACAGGGAGCAAAATAGGCAGACTGACTGAAATACACTGCTGAGGGTTGCAACGGGAGAGACAGGTGAGGTCTGCTGTGTCATGTGGGTTGCTCCCTGCCTGGCTGGTAATCGAACCCGCGCTGCAGAGGCTGTGGACAGCTTCACAAGCTGCGCTCAACCTGCTGCGCCACCTGGGAGGTCCTCATGTTCATTTTTAGCTTGAGCATGTAGAGTACGTTATTACTGCTCTTCAAGAAAGTAGATGCAACCTGTCTGAATCTGATTTTCCTAAAAGAATTAGATTTGAGGTTATCATAGCTGAAAATTCTTAGATGATCCTTCTGACCCTTCTGTGGGAAGAGCTATTAGAGTCAAGTCAAATGTTCCATATAATCAATGCCTACAATCAACAGCTGTGATCTAAACGAGTGGTCTCATTTGTTTTAATTTGAGTAGCAAATTTTTATGCAGGTGATTCCCTGAATGTGGTGGAAGTGTTCGACCCCATCGCCAATCGCTGGGACAAGTGTCATCCCATGACAACAGCCCGCAGCCGCGTTGGTGTGGCTGTGGTGAACGGGCTTCTTTATGCCATTGGGGGGTATGATGGCCAACTCCGGCTGAGCACTGTGGAGGTCTACAACCCAGAGACGGATTCATGGACCAGAGTTGGGAGCATGAATAGCAAGAGAAGGTATTCTAGAAGCCATTTGTGCAGCACAAGCATGCACTGAATTTCTGAGGAGTGCCATGCTAGACAATTAGGGGCACATAATAAAGTAAAGCACAAGCTTTGGCCTGGGAATTTCATGCAATCAGCCACTGCCAACATACCATGGGAGCAAGGCCCCATCAACTTAAAAGTGAAATACCTGTTTTTGAGGAACTTAGGGTGATAAGACATGGACATGTGAAGGTTGTATTTTTTTGTTTGTTTGTTTTTATATTTTTGCGTAGAGATATTGGGGTGTATGCCAGAGGTGCGGGGGGATGAGAGGATTCACCAAGAATGGGGAGCAGGACAGGTGGATTTACTGAAATACACTGCTGAGGGGAGCAGCGGGTGAGACAGAAGAGGTCTGCTGGCTCCTGGGTCTATTAGCAACTACATCCCTTCAAGGGACAGTATGTGGATCAGTTTGATTTGTTACATGCATTTGAAAGTTGGTGGTGAACATAGTATATTTTATTTTCTTCTTTGTTAGCCATCAGATTTATGTTTAATCTTCTCCAGCATCAGGTTTGAAAACAGTGAATTGGGCAGCTTGGCATTTGTGTTTAATTTCTCATGAAGCTTTGTGTAGAACAGATATTTATATTGCACCAGACTCCTGGGTCTCTGAACTTGGTATGGTAAGCAGTGTGGGAGTCGGGCTTTTCTCATTCAAATCTGAGGCTTGTCTCTGGGCAGCATTGAAAAGAGAGCCCAGGCTGTGAGGGGCTTGTCTATGCAGTAAGGATGGTGATACTTCTTTGCAGGGTGTGGTGAGGGTAGAAAATAGCAAGTGTAATGTACTTGGTAGCTGTAATAACTGCACAACAAACAGGAGCTAATGTTACATTAGCCGATAAGGCAAATTAGGAGCCATGCTGGGCCATATATGTAATGAAAAGACATTTGGAACTTTGTAGTGAATTGAATGGGAAAATATAGGTAACACAATAACATGTTGAGGGACACACAAAGCACCACACTAAGTACTGTCAGGATCACGCTGATGAAGAATGCTGTTTTCAAGGAGATCTCAACTTGTTAAAGAGGTGATAGGTAGATCCCTATTACCTCCATGGTGCCAGAACATAGCACCTGGGGCAGGAGCTTTGGCCTCCCTACCACTTTAAACCTTGTACCTAGAGGGCATGCCTCTTCATTGTCTTACAAAAAAAAATCTGATGAATGAATAACTGACAAGTGCTGCAGTGTGGGGCTGGGAGAGAGTAATTTTGGAGAGATCTGGAATGGGTTTTTGAGAGGGAGGACTTTAACCTGGGGGTAAAAAGTAAATTAGATCCTGAATCTGACAAGGTGGCAGATGAGCTTTTCAGACAGATCAGGGACTGAGAAGAGGGTGAGTGGGGAGGTAACCCTGGGTGGGGAAGCCAAGGGAACCTCAGGGCAGCTTCTTTCCCCTTGATTTTCACCTTCACAGTAACATACATGAAATTTAGGCAGTTGGTGGTTAGGTTTATTTCTCAGTGAGCATGAGATACTGCCCCATGAAGTGTGAGCCCCATCTGAGATGACAGCTCTGTCTCTTTCAGTGCCATGGGGACAGTCGTGCTGGATGGGCAGATCTATGTCTGTGGGGGCTACGATGGCAACTCTTCTCTCAACTCTGTGGAGATGTACTCACCTGAGACGGACAAGTAAGGACTTGAGCTCCCTTGGGGCAACTGGAGCTCACTAAACAAAGTGTATAAAAATTAGAGCTTCAAAAAAAAAAAAAATTAGAGCTTCAGTTTTATGATCAAACTTCTTGGGCATAAAGAATAGCTTACCTTTTTAGCTTCATAATATCTTATATATAATAGCTGCTTAATAACCTCTAGTTAAATTATCTACATGGATATTGGGAAATGTATGTTTATTTTCTTGTTTCTTACCCCCACCCCACCCCCACCAAACCACCCATGCCCATACCCAATTACCTCCTTCCCTGACCCCCTTTGGGCACCATTATCTTCTTTTTGCTCAGTTCAAATTTGTTTCTGTAAAATTGGTTTTTTGGGTATTCCACAGATGAGTGAAACCCTCCAAAATCTCTAACTTTTTGACTGATTTCACTCAACATGATCACCTCAATGTCCCATTTGGTGCCCCAAAGGCCACCGTTTCATCTTTCTTCATGGCTCTGTAATATTCCATTAAATATATGCTCCACCATTTCTCTGTCCATTCATCTGCTGAAGGCCACTTGGGTTGGTTGTATGATTTGGCAGTTATAAACAGTGCTGCTAATGTAGGTATAGATTGATCTTTTCCTGTTAGCTTTTTCATGTCATTTAGGTAAATACCTAATAGCAGTATTGCTGGGTCATATAGAATTTCCATTTTTATATTCTTGAGAAATCTCCATACCATTTTCCTCAGGGCCTATACCAAACTTGCATTCCCACCAACTCTGGATAAGAGTTCCTTTTTCACCGCAACCTCATCAACACTTGTTAATTCCATTCTTTTTTATATGGCCCATTCTCACAGGGGTAAGGTTGCATCTCAGTGTGGTTTTAATAATGCATCTCTTATGAGTTTTTCATATGTCTTCTTTAGAGAAGTGTCTATTGAGGTCCTTTGCCGGTTTTTTAATTGGGTTGTTTGTTTCTTTGTTGCTGGATTTATTCTATTTCAAGTACTTTATGATTTTGGTTCTTATAGTCAAATCTTTAATCCATTTTATTTTCTTTTTCTTTAATCCATTTTAAATTAAGTTTTGTGTATGGAGTTAAACATGGGTCTTTCCTTCCTTCCTTCCTTCCTTCCTTCCCTCCCTCCCTCCCTCCCAGCACCATTTATCACAAAGGCTTTTTTTTTTTTCCAGTGTGTGACCATAACTCCTTTGTGAAAGACGAGCTCTCCATGTTTATGTAGATTTATCTCTGTTTCACTCATCCTTTGGATTGTCTTTTGTTTTCTGTCTCTTATTTCTTCTCTCATTTTTATTATTTCTTACCTTCTGATTTTGGGGTGATTTGTCATTCTTTTCTAGTTTCTTCAACTACAGCGTTCGATTGTTAAATTGAGATCTTTCTGTTTTTTTTAAATGTGGGCCTGTATTGCTACAGACTTCTCACATAGTACTAGGTCTGTTAGCTTATCTCCTTTTCATTAGTCTCTAGATTTTTTTTTTAATCTCTTCTTTAATTTCTTCATTGATCCAAAAATTGTTCAGAAGCACTTTGTTTAGCTTCCACATATTTTGGTTTGTTCCAGGATTCTTTTATGGTAAATTTCTAGCTTTATATATAAGCACTGTGGTCAGTGAAGATGCTTGATCTTTGATCTTGTCTGGGAGTAGAGAGGGAAGGGAGCTTTCAGTGCCCAGGCCATCCCAGTTGGGAGTTCCCAATTTCCCTGGTCAGAATCTGCAGAGTTCCCACTGCCTTGGGCTCGGACTGGGCCCACTCTTTTTTTTTTTTTTTAAATATTTTATTTATTTATTTATTTATTTATTTATTTATACAAGCACTGGGTACAGTCAGAAGTGTGAGAGGGAGAGAGAATTCACCAGAATCAGAGGGAGAGCAGAGCAGGCAGAATGACAAAGTACACTGCTGAGGGGAGCAGCGGGCGGCAGGAGAGGTCTGCGCGCCATGTGGGACCCTCGCCCGGTGGCCGGGGATCGAACCTGCACTGCAGAGGCTGTGGCCAGCTTCGCAACACAGTGCTCAACCGCTGCGCCACCTGGGAGGCCCTGGGCCCACTCTTGTGTCAGCAAAATCTTTCCATGGAATTTCACAGTATCCCGGGTTTCCCATGTCGTGGCTTGGTTAGTACATCCCCAGGCCAGACACGCTCCCCTTGTCTTTTTCCCTTCCTCCTATTCTTTCCCCTCAGCAGCCACCCACCTTACTTCTTGAACAACTTGGGGAAGTTGTGGCTGTATAGCTGGGATGAAGCATCTGGATTTACCTATGAGCACATATTAATCATTCTTTATAGTTGTTTTTAAGGGAGAGGATGATTCTGGCCTCTGTAGTCCTCCATATTGGAAATGTTTATTTAATGCTTTATATCTCTTATCTAAATCAGCCTATTTTAATGAAAATGATTAAGGAATAAACTGGAACTTTCCAAAATGAATAGGACATGATTTGAAGGCCAGACCACTGTAGTGGTTCAGGTGAGAGGCCAGAGCTAGGGCAGTAGTGGGAATGGGATGGTAACAAGCAGTGACTAGAAGGCATACCACTGGGGCCTTAGTAACTACAAGGGAGGAGACACCATAAACATGCTGAATTTATGGGTTTGGCAGCTAGACAGCTGGTGGTCCCATTAACAAGTGCAAGGGAGTGGAAGATCTATCTGTAAGAGAGACCTTATTGGAACTTGTTGATTTTGCATGCCTAAAGAGATGAGCAGAGACCAGCTGCAGGTGAGAGGGAGCAGCCAAAGAGCTGTCAGCAGCAGTGGTGGGAGACGGGATAGAGGTGGGGAGATTGTCCAACACAAGAGGAAACAGCGCAATCACCCAACCCTTTCTCAGCTATTTTGGGAGAACAGAACACCAAATCTCATGACTGCCTCCTGCTTTGGCTCTTTCCTGAAGGTGGACAGTGGTGACCCCCATGAGTTCGAATCGCAGTGCTGCTGGGGTTACGGTCTTTGAGGGCAGGATCTATGTGTCAGGTGGCCACGACGGTTTGCAAATCTTCAACAGTGTAAGTCTGGGCTCCTCTGGGGCTGAGGGCACTTACTCCTTCCATCTTTGAGAGTTATTTTAAAAGACAGTTCTTTGGGAAAACTTTAACCCTGCCATTGTTGGGTAAGATATCATCTAGTGAGGTGTCAGGCCATCTACTCTGTGCCCTGGAATTCCCCCAAGAATGGGAGCTAGTGTGCACAAAGGAGGGGTAGAGAGTAGCCATGCTGCCACCGCCCCACCCTGTTCAGTTCTCCATCAAATGCTGCATGTGACCTGTGATAATTCCTGCTCAAAGTAAGCTCAGTTACATACAGTGTGAATTTGCAATTAGTCCTATACTTCTGACTAATTTGTTTGAAATTGCATTCTTTAAAAAACCTCAGCAGAGTCAGTCATTGCTGGGGTGGCACATACTCTGGACAGATTTTAGGAGACCCTGCTCTCTTCCCAGCTTTGTCACTACTTAGCAGTTGCATCCATGGGCAGCTCCTTCATTTGTTTCCTTAGATGTAAACAGAGAGGGCTGGATTAGGTGACCTCTCACCCGTCCCTTTAAACCCAAGGGCATATGTGCATCTGAGAACGTGAGCGTCAGCAGAGCGTATACTGCCAGAGCTCTGACCCTTTCTCCGCGTCCCCCCCACCCCCCAGTTTGGCACCTTGTGACGTCACCTGTGGACAGAGCTTGGGCGCTGACTGACTTGTACTTGTGCCTTTTTCCCTGCTATAGGTCGAGCACTACAACCACCACACAGCCACCTGGCACCCAGCAGCTGGCATGCTCAATAAGCGTTGCCGGCATGGAGCTGCCTCCCTGGGAAGCAAGATGTTTGTGTGTGGGGGCTATGACGGCTCTGGCTTCCTCAGCATCGCCGAGATGTACAACTCTGTGGCGGACCAGTGGTGCCTGATAGTTCCCATGCACACACGCCGCAGTCGCGTCTCCCTGGTGGCCAGCTGTGGGCGCCTCTACGCTGTGGGCGGGTATGATGGACAGTCCAACCTAAGCTCCGTGGAGATGTATGACCCAGAGTTGGACTGCTGGACATTTATGGCCCCCATGGCTTGTCATGAAGGAGGGGTTGGCGTGGGCTGCATCCCTCTCCTTACCATCTAAGGCAGAGTGAGGGTTGTGGTGGGGTTGGGATTTGGTACAAACAGAGACACTTCCTTCCAGGGACAGTCCCTCTCAAGGGAAGGTGGTGGACCAGAAGATGGGATGAAAGGTGAGCTCACCGGAGGTACAGTTTTCCAGGTGCTTAAGTCTTCCCTCACTGTGCTACCCTGGTGACCTTCAGGCCCAGGTCATCAAGATGCACAGCATGGGACAGAAGCCCCTCTGGGTCCTGCAGCTGGTGACACGGGACTGCTCTGCTGGTCCACGCATACGCAGGCACCATCCAAGCCCAGCTCTAATTTGGGGATTTCAGTGAGACCTTTTTCATCCTGTTCAGGAGTAAAAGAAGAAATAAAGATACTTGAAAAAAAACTGAAGGAAATTTAAACAAACACTTGAAAGAAACTGGAAAGAAAACTACTTTAAGTAGACATTTTTTGCAAGAAGAACATAAAAGACTAAAAGCAAATATGTGTTTAAATGGAAAGCCACCAAACATGAAAAAGGGCACTATCCGTTCCCACATTCGGATCCCAGGGTCCTGATGCCTCACCTAGCACTTGGGGTTCCCTCTGAGCCCCAGCGTGTTGGAATCAGTGCACTTTTGACTGGTCCTACAAGTAGCAAGGTGCTCAAGGGGTTTGTCTTCATACCCACTATCAGAGGACTTTTTTAATCATAGGCTTAGCCCGTCGGCTAAATTACTGCCGCTCTTCTAGGTGAAGAGTTCCCAGTTGGTGGCTGGAGGCTCAGCTGTCCCTATGGTTACCTCCCATTGCCACTGTGGCAGTCACTCAGATTCCCCACCCTCACTTTCATCCTTCCTTATTTGACCAGCAGGTTAACAGCAGGTCTGGCCAGATTCTCACTTGCCCATCTATCATTCTTGGATAGCTTTCCTTGTGATGCTTCTGGGGCACATTGACCATTTGTACCTCTAGATCTAACCAGGGACTTGTTCCTTCCACCAGCCATGGGCTGTTTGACCCAATAACCTCCTCTGTTGTACCAGTCCACTGCTCTCCTCCATCTACTCACCAATTCCCGGGGTCTGGCCACCCTCCCTCTGGCCCCTGGAAGACCAACCAGCAAGGTGGACTTTTACATTCAAGTAAAGCTGGCTCTCTGACGTAAAGAACTAAAGGCTAAAATGAATCTCTTGCTGCTGCAAAGTACAGATTTTATATTTCTCCCTCTGATCTTAGGAAATGACTTCTTGAAGAGACTGTGCTCCTTCCTTCTCCTTGGATGGGACCTTAATGTAGCAAAACAGGATCCCAACAGGAGGACACATTCTGCTACCAGTACACTGGGCAGTGGGGCTGTCCTTCCATGGCTACTGCCAAAATCTGCTTCTCTAAAATTCTTCAGTTAGAGACTAAAAGAGGATACAATTCCTTTAACACAGGACTCAGTCTTAGTGTCCAAGTCTCCACTTGACTGGTCTCCTGTCCGTCACTGCCTACCTGGGGTGAGCTGGAAGCCTATTCAGAAAGATGCAGTGTGTGTAGTCGCCATGTACCTGAAGGCAAGTACCTTTATTACCTGCCACTTAACAGCTGGACCTCTGCTACAAGCACTTGAAATTGATGTTTTTATATTGAAAGACAACAGTCTGATATAGTTTAGGCTGGGCTTATGGTGGCGCTCCAGCATTTCTCACTCCTAGGTTTGCCTGCAGAGGTAGACTCGGAGGTGGGGTCTGCATTTCCTATTAGAGAGAAGGAGTGTATCATCTTATGAGCCCCTTTTGTGTATGAAGTTGAAGCAGCACTGATGAACCTGGGTTGTGAAGGTGTTAAGAATCAGTTGGGCTGAGTAGCCTTCCACTGGTCCTTAGTATACTAGCCTGGATTTTGCCATTTGGATGACAGGTCTCCTCCCATGACCTGCTGCTCTTGTAGTCTCCTTAAGTCCACTCTCACCTCCTGGTATAGAAGTTACACTGCTGCGCCAGAGGTCAGTGTTTTAATCTGGGCTCTGAGCAAAAATGAGCAAATGTCAAGATTTTCATATACTTTGCACTTGGCTCCCCAAACTGATATGGGTAACTTTGCACGTGGCTAATCTGGCCTTTGGTGTTGGAGCCTTTCCAATAGCACCATGAAGAAGAGAGGCATCACCCAAGGGTATTACAAAAAGGCTGTAATAAATAGGTAGCACAGATGTGCTCAGTGGGCCTAGCCCAGCTCTGAACATAGGAATGTGGCATTTGCTATCCTTGGCATTTCCCTTCTTAGAAAATATACAGAACCTTCTGTCCTGGGTTACATCTGACATCAATGCCAGAATGGGAGCTGAAGACCGGCCTTTTAACTTGACCACAGAACTAAGACTAGATAGAAATTCTGCCCTCCCCAATTTATTATTCCCCAGAAAATCTGGTTTTATTTATAGAATGCATGTCTTTCATGTTAAGAAACCAAAGAGAAATAAAGAGTGCACTCCTCACATCTTGCCCTTTACTGATTTATTTTTTAAATGTTAGAAGTAAATAATATTTCTATTATAATTCAGTGAAAAAATGTATTGAGCAAAGTGTAAATATTCCTGTGAAAACAAGGGAAAAGCCAGACTCCATTTGCAAGTTACATATTTGCTCCTGTGACCACATCACATCTTCTCTTAGATTCCTCTTTCTCTTTTCTCGCTGCCATGAAACTCTGGATTCCCAGAGAAATGTGACTTGCCTGGAACCAAACCCCCCAGCTACTTTTTCATGCCCTGAACCAGTGGTGCTTAACTTTGGTACACATGAAGTTCACTAGAAAAATTTTAAATCACAAATTCATTTGTAGATCCCTCCCCAGAGATGCGCTTTTGAGGGCTGGGGTATTGCTCAGGCGCTAGAGTGCAGGCAACTTTCCTTGATGTTGTATGTGTTTATCATAGTGTGAGAGTTGGACTTCTGTGTTTAGTGTCCACTTTAGATACAGCCACATTTCAGATCTGCCTTGATGAGGTTACCCCCTGGTTACTGTGCTTGTGGATGTTAAGAAACTCTTTAATCACACTCTTCAAAAGTCAGCTTATAGTCAGTCCCATCCATTAGGTACTGATTATACTTTCAAGTGATAACCTTATCTTTGAAGTTTTAGAAGGGTATGTCACTCCCCGGCATGTGTTTTGCACATAAACACTACTGATTCTCAGCTGGTTTACTCCATGGTCACCACAGACTGAGCAGTGTAGCTCATTTTAACATAAATTGCCTCAGTCTGAGAAACTGACCTGACTCAACTAACTGGTAATATTGTAAAGAATTGAGACCAGATTTCCGTACTCACTGCCCATTCACCCGAGTAGAGCAGGGTGTTCGACCTTTGAAGCAGCTCCCCCATCAGCCTTCACCCTGTTGTGTGGAGGTCTGGTGCCTGGTACTGTGATGGGCTTTGGAGAAGCAGACTGCAGGGAGGGCAAGAGGAGCTATGTTGGCATTATAGAAACAGTACCTTTGTGTTGAAATAGGAAGCCAGATCATATGCAGGCTCCCCTGTGGGAGAAAGGCCATATGCCTATAAAGTAGTAACAGCCCTTTCCATGTAAGCCAACACCCCCTTGCTCAGAACCAGTGAGTCCATGGGTGAAGAAGGGACCCATGAACTTCAACTAGACTCATTTCAGTTTCTTTCTTTTTTTTTTTTTTTTGGCAGTTGTTCTTTGGACCTTCCTCTAACAGTTGGGAGCAGAGCCCACTCCTCTTCACCCCAGAGAGGAGCCCTACTGGTTTTTACTGCTGCTCACCATAACATTACATAACTGAAGAATGGTATGAGAGTCACACAGCTCTCATAGAAATTATTCTAAACTTGGGGCTTCCCTGTTGGCCTATGGGTTTATCTCATCACTATCACCGCCACAGCCTGATTCCATCCCTGGCCAGGGAGATATGCCCACATATGGAGCAGCAGACCTCTCCTGTCTCGCCTGCTCATCCCCTTAGCAGTATATTTCAGTAAGTCCATCTGTTCTTTTCTCTGGTGAGTCCTCTCACCCCCCACACCTCTGGCCTACACCCCCGTTCTACGTAAAAATAAAAATGAATGACCCTGGAATTGTTTAAAAAGAAAAATTATTCCAGAATTACTGTTACCAATCTCCTCTCTAGTGTAAACATGTTTCTTTTCTCTTTATTGGAGCTTAGTTCCATATTTAATTCTCTTTCTAGATTTGTAGTTCTGGATAAAACCTAAACTCTATGTCATGGCATAGAAAACTACTATAATCTGGCACTTCCTCCCACTTTGCCTCTCTACTACAGTGCTTCAGGGTCTCAGTTTAGATGTTACTCAGGCAGGAAAGCATCTCTGGTCAGCCTGGTGCCCCTCTTCTGTGCTTATTCGTGACTTTACCCTACCAAGGCAATGGGAGTGTTTGCTTGTCTTACTATGGATAGTAAGCGACGGCAGTCTCTGTAACTGTGTACCCAACATGGGGTACAGAGAAGAGACAATGTTTCTTGGAGAACTTGAGGGTAATCAGGTATCATCAGACTTAAGTTCGCCTAATCACACTTCCTTGTCATCATTTCAGGTCACTGACTTTTTAATAGTTTTATTAAGGTGTAATTTATATCCACTGTCATTCACCTATTTTAAGTATGCAAATCAATTATTTTTAATAAATGTACAGAGTTTGTGCACCCATTACCACTATCCCATTTGGGATTGTTTTCATCACTTCAAAAACTTCCCTCCTTGGGGCCTCCTTGGTGGTGCAGGCGGTTGAGCACAGTGCTGTGAAGCTGTCTGCAGGCTCTGCAGTGCGAGTTCAATCTGACTGGCCTCAGAGATACCCACATGGTGAGGCAGACCTCTCCTGTCTCACCCGCTGCTCCCCTCAGCAGTGTATTTCAGTCAGTTTGCCTGTTCTGTTTCCTGCTCTGTCTCTGGTGAATCCTCTCACCCTCCCACACCTCTGGCCTGTGGGAATCTCCCTGGCTGGCCGGGAATCGAGCCTGCTCTGCAGGGGCTGTGGACAGTTTCACACTCCCTGGCTGTGCTCAACCCACTGTACCACCAGGGAGGCCCCTATCCCATTGATGAATATTTAGATCATTTCCAGTTTGGAGCTATTATGTGCAAGTGCTGTGGACATACATTCCTTCTGGGTAGATTCCTAGGAGAGTGGAATTTCATTTGTAAATTTATGTTTAACTTCTGAAGAAACTGACATGCTTTTCCAAAGTAGCAGTGTCATTTTATATTCCCACCAGCCATGTATGAGGGTTCAGGTTTCTCCATATCCTTGCCAGTTCTTGGAATTGTCTCTTTTTGATTATAGCCATCGATTATACTGAGTGTTAGTTTGCATTTCTCTATTCATATACTTTTTAACCATTCATATATCTTTAGGGAAAATATATTCAAATTTTGCCCATTTATGAATTGGACCACGTCTTTTGAGTTTGTAGGAATCCTTTATGTATGTCAGGATACAAATTCTTTATCATATATATAATTTGCAAATATTTTCTCCCAGATGTGTCTTGTCTTTTCATTTTATTAATGGTTTTGAATTGTAGAGGCTTTAATTCTGATGAAGTTAAATTTATCAATTGCTTTTATACATCATGCTTTTGATGTCATAAGAACTTTTTGCCCAACCCAAGTTTATTAAGAAATTCTTCTAGAAGTTTTATAATTTTAGCTCTTACGTAGTTGTATGATCCATTTTGCTTCTTTTTTTTTTAAATTTACCTTTGTGCACATGGATATCTATTTGTCCCAGCACATTTGCTGTAAAGATGATCTCTTCCTTTTTTTTTTTTTTTTTTTTAAGATTTATTTATCTATGCACACAAGAGCTGGGGTACAGGCCAGAGGTGTGGGGAGTGAGAGGATTCACCAGAGACCAGTGGGGAACAGAACAGGCAGATTGACGGCAGTGAAATGCTGAGGGGAGCAGCAGGCAAGTCAGGAGAGGTCTGCTGCACCATGTGGGTTGCTCCCTGGCCAGCCAGGGGATCGAACTCGTGATGCAGTGGCAGCAGACAGCTCATAGGTTGTGTCTTAACACCTTGCGCCACCAGGGAAGCCCGATCTCTTCCTTTTTTAAATTGCTTTGGAACCTTTGTTGAAATCAATGGACCAAAATATAAGGGTTTAGGGCCTCCTCGGTGGTGCAGCAGTTGAGCACTGGGTTGCGAAGGTGCCTGCAGCCTCTGCTGCGCCAGTTCGATCCCCGGCTGCTCCCCGGCCACTAGAGGAGGATCCCGCATGGCGCGCAGACCTCTCCTGCCGCCCGCTGCTCCCCTCAGCAGTGTACTTCGGTCCTTCTGCCTGCTCTGCTCCCGGCTCTGGCTCTGGTGAATTCTCTCACTCTCCTGCGCTTCTGACTGTACCCAGTGCTTGTATAAATAAATAAATAAATCTTTTAAAAATATATATATATATAAGGGTTTATTTCTAGTTTCTGAATTCTGTCTCATTACTTTATATGCCTGCCTGTGAGCCAGCACCATACTGATAATATGGTGTTGATTACTCCATCTTTTAAGTAAGTCTTACAGTTGGATAATGTAAGTCCCCTGACTTTTTTTTTTCCACAATTATTTTAGGTACTTTGCATTCCCATTGAACTTTTATGATCAGCTTGGTAATTCCTATAGAAAAGACTTCTGGATATTAATAGATATTTAATAGATATTATGTGGAATTCACAGATCAATTTGGGGAGAATTGCCATCCTGGCACTCTAAGGTCTTCCAATCCATGGATGTAGAATGTTTGTTGCTTGTTTTAGATATTCCTTGATTTCTCTGAGTGACATTTTGTCATGTTCTGCACACAAGCCTGCACTCTTTTGTTAAAATGTTCTTTAATTTTTGTTATCATGGATGGAATTGCTTGATTTTATTTTCAGATTTTTGTGGTGCTAGTATAGAAATACCATTGCTTTTTGTTTTTTGATCTTGTGTCCTGTGACCTTGCTTAAACTCATCTATTCATTTTTATCTTTTCTAAAAGTGTGCATGTGTGTATGTGGTATTTCTAGGGATTTTCTACATATGTGATCATATCATCTGTGACTAAGGACTTTCCTTTTTCTTTCCAATCTGGATGCCTTTCATTTGTTCTTACCCCACTAGCAGAGATTACGATTACCAGAGTAAAGCCCAGGCTGTGCCCTCACAAGCCCCTTACTTTCCCTCCCACCCTAAACTGGGTGTGCTCTCTTCTCCTTAGCTCAAAGACCATCTCTGATCTCCCCTTTTGTGCTGCCCATCGCCACCTCTTTCTAACTTCCTCATGTAAAAGACTTCATTCTATACAATCCACCTAGCCGACACTGCCCTTTCCCATAGAAGAGGAAGGTGTCTGAAGTCTTATCTCTGGATCTGTACAAATTACATTCACTTGGGTATGTCCCAGTATGACCATATTTGAAACAGGACCTCAAACCTGATTATCCCCAGCTTTCCCCCATTCTCCTAGTACATGTTTCATTCTTCCCATTGCTCACTCAAAGAACTCAGGGTTTAGGAGGGAAGGAGAGGGAAGCGAGGTGTTCATTTCTCTTTTTCTCCATCAACCAAACCTTAACCTAGTTCTGTTGACTCTGCTTCAATTCTGTTCTCTCCTCTGCCTCCAAGTAGTCCAAATCATCAGCATATCCCTTAGAACCTGGATCACTACAGTAGCCTCCCAGCTTCCACCCTGCGCCCTCTGTAGTCCATAAATAGCAGAGCAGCCAGAGTGAAATTGTGAAACTTTAAGTCAAATTGTGTCCCTCATTATTTTTTTTAAAGATTTATTTATTTATGCATACAAGAACTGGGGTACAGGCCAGAGATGCAGGGGGTGAGAGGATTGACCAGAGACAGAGCGGGGAACAGAACAGGCAGAGTCACTGAAATACACTGCTGAGGGGAGCAGCGGGCGAGTCGAGAGGTCTGCTGCACCATGTGGGTAGCTCCCTGGCCGGGGATCGAACTCATGCTGCAGTGGCTGCGGATAGCTTCATAGGCTGCGTCCTCACCCCTTGCGCCACCAGGGAGGCCCTGTGTTGCTCATTATTGAGAGACCTTGAATTGGTCTTCTTCCCTCTCAGCCTTATTGCCCATCTGTAAGATGGGAGAGCTCTTCTGGCTCTTCGTCCAGACTGTCAGGGACATCTGACAAATGTTCTGTAAAAACAAAGGCGAGGGGCCTCCCTGGTGGCGCAAGGAGTTAAGCACCGCACTACGAAGCAATCCACAGTCTCTGCAACACAAGTTCCATCCCTGGCCGGGGAGCTACCCACATGGCACAGCAGACCTCTCCTGACTCACCCGCTCCTCCCCTCAGCAGTGTATTTCAGTCATTCTGCCCGTTTTGTTCCCCACTCTGTCTCTGGTGAATCCTTTCAGCCCCCACCACCACACCTCTGCCCTGTACCCTAGTTCTTGTATGCATAAATAAATCTTTTTTTAAAAAAAAAAGGTGGTGTATGGGGACCTCCCTGGTGGCACAAGGAGTTAAGTTTCTGCACTATGAAGCTATCAGAAACCACTGCAGCAAGAGTTCTATCCCAGGCCAGGGAGCTAACCCACATGGGGCAGGAGACCTCTCCTGTCACTCCTGCTGTTCCCCTTAGTAGTGTATTTCAGTGAATCCTCCTGTTCTGCTGCCCACTATGTTTCTAGTGAATCCTCTCACCCTTCCCCCACACCTTTGGCCTCCAGTTCTTGTATGCATAAATAAATAAAACATCTTTAAAAAAAAATAAAGGTGGTGTAATGTTTCAGGGAGTTACAATTCTCTCCCTTTTATTGAGTCATTCCTCAGCTGGTTTCCTTTTTGGTTTCATGCTTTGGTTTTCTTGAAAGATGTTACTTGTTTTATTTTTTACACATGAGTCTTTAATCTACCTGGGATTGTTAAGAGGTGATATACATTTTACTCCTGGTAGCAAACCTCCTTCCCCAACTGAGTGACTACCATTTTAGTCATATATTCCCTTCTCGTATATATATAGCGACCTGATTCCAGGTTCTCCCTTCTTCCCTGGGCTCGTCTTTGTCCCCCTTCCTGGACTGTAGTCACTTTGTCCCAATTCATTGTTCTTTTTCACAGTTTTCTTGGCTATTACTAGAAATATATTCACATGTGTGACTGCGTTACCCAGGATTTAGGTGCCATGGAACTAGAATGTTGACTGTAAATAAGTCAGCCTATTTCCTTACTTTCCTCACTTGAGTCCCAAAAAGTTGTGGATCATACATGCAGCTCGCAAGGTAGTTCTGCGAACAGAGAATGTATGGGAAGTGCCATTCATAAATGATGGCTATGAGTAACATTAATGCAGAGGCGCCCTTGGCTTTTCTCTGACTATTACTAAAAAGATCATTTCTCCAAGGGGCTATACTACATAGCCCTTGAATGAGAATTTCACTGAAATATTGCTGTAGCAAAGAAGGAACACAGTAGAGAAAAGAAAGGGGCCTTTAGGGGCCTCCCTGGTGGCACAGGCAGTTGAGCACAGCACTGTGAAGCTGTCCGCAGCCTCTGCAGTGCTGGTTCGATCCCCGCCGGCCTCGGAGCAACCCACATGGCGTGCAGGCCTCTCCTGTCTCTCCCGCTGCTCCCCTCAGCAGTGTATTTCAGTCAATCTGCCTGTTCTGTTCCCCGCTCTGTCTCTGGTGAATCCTCTCACCCTCCCGTGCCTCTGGCCTGTACCCCGGTTCTTGTATAAATAAAATAAATCTTTAAAAAAAAAAAAAAAGAAAGAAAGGGACCTTCATCCATGCAACCAGTATTTACTGAGCACCTGTTATGTGCCAGGCACATGTTCTCAGGGCTGGGGATTCATCAGTGACCAAAACAGGCTTACTAGTGGACCAGATGCAGTTTGTGAGAGAGGACTAGGAGTCAAGGATGACTCTCAGGTGTTGGGGTGGTTGAAGTTGCCTTCAGGGAAACTGAGGCTGGCTGTAAAATAGCAGGTTTGGAAGAAAGAACTAAGTGCTTGATACCCTTTGGACTTCCATAAGCAGATGTCCAGGAGGAAGTCAAATGCACATCTAGGGTGCAGGTCTAGTTAGAGCTTTGTGATAAAGGAGGAGGCATAAAGGAACTAAAGGCTGATAAGGAGATTGAGGCAGATTACTCTGCCTTCCTTAACATTCAGTGTGGCCCTTGGATGGCCTCCTTCTGTCATCCCCTATTTCTCCCCATCATCTGTGCCCTGACATCAAGAAAATCGAGCTCTCATGATGCCCAGTGGAATGCCCCTAGAACTAACTCATTGGTGTAGTCACCCGAGTCTAGCCGATACAACCTCTAACACTGTAATCACTCATTCATTCTCTTAGTCATTTATTTCAGAAAGCTTTTATTGAACCTCTTTTCTGTGGTTCGCACCAGGACCAGTCCTCGTGGACTGACCTATTTAGAGGTGCCTGGATATGTGAAGGGAAGTTTAGTTGTCACAGTGACTGGGCAGGGAGCTGCAGTGCTCAGGGTCCTATGCAAAAGGAATTGCCCTCTCAGGATTCCCTGGACCACCTTGTTGAGAAACTCATTCCACAGCCCCCTGCAGCTGGCTCAGGGGCACCAGCTGTGAGTAGACGGTGTTATCTGGCTGGGCACAGCAGGTAATACCAGCATGATTTGAGGTTCATGAAGGTACAGATGAGGAAAGGATCTCTCTCTAGGGTAGAGCAGGGAAGCTTCCTGGAGGACATGACTTTGGAGTTGTGCTTTGAGAGATGAGTAGGTTTGACAGACACAGGATAGGACAGGAATTAATTCCAGGCAAAGGAAGCATATGTGCAAATACAGAAGCATGTGGATGATTCAGACAGCAGTAAAGAAGGTGCTGAGGGCATCAGGTCGGAAGGGGAGCTTGTGGTGGAGATGCAGTACCATCCCTTCTTTCTCCAGCTCTACATATTCCTCAGGATGTTGGCGATGATGTTGTACTTGGCTCTCTCATACATGTCCTCGGCCACTGATGAGGGCTTGGGGCTCTCAGCCCCCAGAGACTGTCCCGCAGCAGGGTCAGCAAAAGGCCTCATGGAGGGCACCTGCAGAAGTGACACTGAATAGTCACTCTCATGCCCAAGATTGATCCCCTTTTCTGTCCTGCCTGGGCCTCTCTCCAGGCCGGTGAGGAGAGTGAGGCACGGACAAGTAGGTTGGTGATGAGCTGAGAGGTGATCCTCAATCAGCCCCTTCCCCTTGAATTCCAGAGACCTGGGCAGGTCTGGATTGTGGGAATTACAGGCTTTCCCACTCACTGCAAGGAGGCTCCATATCTGGCTTCAGTTTTCCCAAATGTAGAATGGGCACCCCTGCACCCCGCCACGACCCTCCCCCTCCCCCCAGCAGTTGGGATTCGCGGAAGCTCAGATCACCAGCAGAACTCTTAAGAACATAAGCGCCCCCCACCCCAGCCCCAGTCGTTCCCTCTCCTCTCCTCCTCCCAAATGGCTAGCTGTCATGAAGACCTCTCCTCATACCCTATAAGCCTCTGCCTTCCCAACAATTTGCATTAAGAAGGGTTTAATCGGGCCTCCCTGGTGGCGCAGGCGGTTGAGCACCGCACTGTGAAGCTGTCCGCAGCCTCTGTAGCGCTGGTTTGATCCCAGCCAGCCAGCGAGAATCCCACATGGCGCGCGGACCTCTCCCTTCTCTCCCGCTGCTCCCCTCAGCAGTGTATTTTGTCAGTCTGCCTGTTCTGCCCCCCACTCTGTCTCTGGTGAATCCTCTCATCCTCCCGTGCCTCTGGCCTGTACCCCGGTTTTGCATAAATAAAATAAAATCTTAAAAAAAAAAGAAGGGTTTAATCAACCCCATTTTCCATATGAATAAACTGAGGCCTCACCATGGGAATGTAGGGCCCAGGCAGAAGCACCTCAGTTGTGGGGTAGTAAACTGGTGGAGAGCAGCCCGCGCAGGGAGCCGAGGGGAGAGAGGTGGAGGGAGAGGCGGGCAGGCCGGGGACCAGGAGAAGGGGGCGGCGCGCCTCACCTCTGGCTCGCGGGTGGGCTCGCTGGTGGGGTCGCTGTCTCTGACCGGAACACAGTCGAGCTCCGAGATGCGGCGACGTCGCTTCAAGAAGGTGCCTGTGCAGATTCGCTCCTCCTGCCGGGGAGGGAGCACGGGCCTGAAAGCGTTCCTGCCGCCCTCCCCAGGACACAGCACCGCCCTAGCGCCCAGCTCGGTGGCTTCCCTGAGGCCTGAGCCCGCAGCAGCCCTAAGAGGACGCGCCCACGACCCCGCCTTCCTGCCCACCAAGGCATAGCCACTAACCCTCCTCAAACCAGAGATGCAAATTGAGGGTTCCCCAGAGCAATAGCTGGAAAGGACATTGAGCGGACTGCATGAGCACCCATGAAGAGAAAGGATACTTGTGTAAAATATTAAATGGGAAAAGGAACATTCATCAGAGGAAGTCATATTAATTTTTTTACAGATTTATTTATGCATACAAAGGCTGGGGTGCAGGCCAGAGATGTGAGGGTTGAGAGGATTCCCCAGAGACAGAGCGGGGAGCAGAACAGGCAGACTGACAGAAGACACTGCTGAGGGGAGCATTAAGGGAGGCAGGAGAAGTCTGCTGTGCCATGTGGGTTGCTCCCTGGCAGGAGATCCTTATATTTTAAACAAATATGGGGCCTCCCTGGTGGTGCAAGGGGTTAAGTGTCAGCACTATGAAGCTATCCACAGCCACTGCAGGAGTTCTATCCCCAGCCAGGGAGGGACCCACATGGCACAGCAGACCCCTCCTGACACACCTGCTGCTCCCCTCAGCAATGTATTTCAGTTAATCTGCCTGTTCTGCTTCCCACTCTGTCTCTGGTGAACCCTCTCACCCCCTACACCTCTGGCCTGTACCCCAGCTCCTGTATGCATAAATAAAATAAATCTTTAAAAAATGATATTTTCCTAGGTTTATAAAAGCAATTATTTTCATTTTTTAGGTTTTTTAATATATATATTTTTTTAAGATTTACTTATTTATGCGTACAAGAACCGGGGCACAGGCCAGATGTGCTGGAGAGTGAGAGGATTCACCAGAGACAGAGCAGGGAACAGAACAGGCAGGTGGACGAAATACACTGCTGAGGGGAGCAGTGGGGGAGACAGGAGAGGTCTGTGGTGCCAAATGGGAATATCCCTGGCTGGCCAGGTCAGAGGCCATGGACAGCTTCACAGTGCTGCACTCAACCACCTACACCACCAGGGGAGGCCCAAAGCAATTATTTTTACACGGATTATGGTCCTGCTTTGTGCTGTCTCTTTTTATATTTAGTAATATTTTAGCATGTATTGCTTTTACAGTAAGGATTTATAATAGTTTAAACTAGGAAAGAACAATGAGGAAAAAAGATTTTTTAGGGGGCTCCTTGGTGGCGCAGGGGTTAAAGACACAGCCCTATCAAGCTATCGCCAGCAACTGTAGCTTGAGTTTGATCCCCAGCCAGGGAGGTGACCCACATATGACGCAACAGACCTCTCCTGTCTCGCCCACTGCTCTCCTCAGCAGTGTATCTCCATAGATCTGCCTGATCTGCTCCCCACTCTGTCTCTAGTGAATCCTCTCTCACACACACTCACACACACACTCACACACACACACACACACACACACACAACTCTGGCCTACACCTTGTTCTTGTATGCATAAATAAATAAAAATAAATTTTTACTAAATAAAAGGTTTCCAAAGTCAAACCTCACATCACCAGGTGGGGTGGGTGCAGGCAAACACACATCGCCCCCTGGGGTAGGGGGAGAGGAGAGGGCCTCCTGCTAACTGGGGCTGGGAGAAGAGGAATGGGAGACTCACCCCGCCCTCCTTGAAGGCACATTGCCTGGGCCGTCTCAGTCTCAGCCGGTTTACAATACACACAGTCTCTTTAATCCTGAAGTTGAGCGGTATGGGAGTCGTGGTGGAGTTCTAAAGAGACAAGAGAAAATCCTGATCATTTCCCTTTTACAGATGAGGGAACAAAAGCAAAAAGAAATTAGTTACAAGTTAGAAGGGGCTCAGCCCAGGTTTGTTCTTTTCACCCCCAAAACAGTGAACTCAGTAGAGATTTTAGTTTTGGGGAGGTTTGGGAAGCCAGTGGAAGGATACCATTCAGTAGCTATATGACCTTGAGGCATCACTTCCTGTCTTTGTCCCTGAATTTCCTCTTCCATGATACAGGAACAATAAAATCTGCCTTGAATGCTCAGCTGCCTGGAGAGAGGAATGGAGCAGGGAGGGGACACTGAAGGCACCTTCAGTTCCTGTCTCTCCTTTGAAACAGCTCTGTGTTTCCCTTCAATCCCCGAACCTGCTTGCAGGCTGGATTCCCAGACCCCACATTTCATCCTTAGGCAGAGCCCTGAATTTATCAGTCAGCCAGCTGTCAGGCCCAAGATTATAATCTGTGTTTTATCTTACAATGGAAAAACATTGTAATGATAACAACAGCTAATATTAGCCAAGCATTTCATACCTATGCCTGGCATTCTCTCTTGCCTGCCCTCACAGGTTGCTAAAAGGCAGGTGCTACCTGCTTCCCCAGCCTGGGCCCTCAAACACTCACTGAACTAGGAGGTGGAGTGGCTTCCAGCAGGCGGAAGAGGGACTGTCCTCGTCGCCCTTGATTGAAGCGCCTTAAGGCCAGGGTGACAATCTGGTCATAGCTCAGCTGACGACGACGCTGGGCCACACAGGCCACCGCTGCTAAACCTACTACCAGCACTAGTACCCGCCAAGCCCCTGCCATTGTTCCTTCACTGATCCACTGCCACTTACAGCCCTTTTACGGGCTTTATATTGCCAATAGCCACATTACCCAAGGGCTGTTGGCAATATGTAAAGCCTGTGCCTTCCTGAGGGGGGCCTCTCCTTTCCCTTGCTAGACACCCAGTATTGACCAGTGTTCCGAAATATCATTAGCTAAGAGGCAAGAAAGCTTAGGCAATAGGCCAAGGCCTAATAATGAGGCCAGAGTCCTGGGAGACCTGTGTAAGGTTAGGCAAGTCCCTTCACTATGGGCCCCAATGTCCCCTACTGTGCCATGAGAAGGCTGCCTCTACTCTGACAATCTAGCATGCTGTCATTTCTGCCAGGCTGTTCTGGTTTGATCCTGAAACAACTGGCCAGAATTCAGACTCTGTGTAGGATAGTTCCTCAGCCACATGTACAAAGAGATGGTCAAAACTGAGTGCTTAGGTTGACACCCACAAAATTACCTATATTTGACAAAATTGGCTGTCAATCCTTAAACGTCCAGATGCTTGACTTACTTTGAAAAAAGCCCTAATGTCTTTCCAACCAGGGCTCACAGTGCCTCATGACTGATGGTGGCAAACCATCTAGGGAGAGCCTCACTCTCCACCTCCCTGGCTGCTCCCTGAAGGCAAAGATGGGAGTCTGTCCCTGACAGGGTCAAGGTGAAGCTTCCTGGTTGCTGGAACAGGCAGCCCCAGCAGCTCAGAAGGGGACCTCTGAGTTGCTCCCAGGGCCTCGCCTTCCTCCCAGGACTCCCCTTTTTAAAAACATTTTTTCATTAATTTACATATCTGTATAACTTTGGGGTTAGCTACATTTTTGTATCCTATGTTTCACTCACCCTCCACCAAACCTGTGCCAGTGCACTATTCCTTTCTCCCTCCTCCCCCTCCCTCACATTCCCTCTGGTAACCTATTTTTCCCAGAGTCTAAGAATTGTTGTTGCCATGCTTTGCCAGTGTATGTTTTTGGGTTATTTATATTCTGTAGAGAAGTGAAACTCTCTGGTATCTGTCTCTCATGTTCTGACATTTCACTTAACAAATTACCTCAATTCATTTTGTCCCAAAAGGCACTATTTCATCTGTTTTAACTAGCTGAGCAGGTCCTCCCTGGTGGCACAAGGGGTTAAGCACAGCACTGTGAAGCTGTCCGCAGCCTCTGCAGCACAAGTTCAATCCCCAGCTGGCCTGGGAGCAACACACATGGCACAGCAGACCTCTCCTGACTCCCCCGCTGCTCCCCTCAGCAGTGTATTTCAGTAGAACTGCCTGTTCTCTTCCCCACTGTCTCTGGTGAATCCTTTCACCCCAGTACCTTTGGCCTGTACCCCAGTTCTTGTATGCATAAATAAATCTTAAAAAAAAAAAATCTTAAAAAAAATAGGTTGTTCCCATTAAAGTCCATCAGTGGAGAAACCAAGGCAGAGAGCAGCCCATGTTCCTTCCTCCAAAAGTTGAGGTAGTGCTGAGAAGACCAGAGCCAGAAGTGGGGAGGAGGGCAGAGCAAGAACAATCTGCCAAGACTTACAGGTCATCAAAGACCAAGTCTCATCTTAAAATACTTGTAGGCAGGATGCACAATGGTGAAAAATTAGAAACAAACTAAATTTGCTGCAGGGCCGCATTGTTAGTACCTTTGTGGCATGTCCACCTGTTAAATACTGCTACCACTGATTGGTGGTTGTGTTCATCATAGGTTTCTTTCTTTTTTTTTTTAAAGATTTATTTATTTAGGAAAAAAGATTTATTTATTTATGCATACAAGAACGGGGTATAGGCCAGAGGTGTGGGAGGTGAGAGGATTCACTAGAGAGAGTGGGGAGCAGAACAGGCAGACTGACTGAAATACACTGCTGAGGGGAGCAGCGGGCAAGATAGGAGAGGTCTGCTGTGCCATGTGGTGGCTCCCTGGCCAGTCGGGGATCAAACTTGTGCTGCAGAGGCTGCAGACAGCTTCACAATGCTGTGCTTAACCCCTTGCGCCACCAGGGAGGCCCCTCATCATAGGTTCTTAGCTAAAGAATGAGGATTCTACTGTGGCTGGTCTGGTAGGAGTTGGTCTTGTGTCCATCGCAGGGAGCATGGATAAGGAAACTGCATAAATTTTATGCAGGAGTTAAGCCATGGTCCTCAACTGGGACAATTTCCCCCTTGCTCCTCAGGAAAATTATCAATGTTTAAAGACATTTTTGACACAATTTGGAGAGTGGGTACAACAGGCACCTAATAGCTAGAGGTCAAGATGCTGCTAAACTTTCTACAATGCACAAGCAGCTGCTATGAAGAATGGTCCAACCCTAAATGTCGTAGTGCTAAGACTGAGAAATTCTGAAATAGAGCAACAGACCAGATGAAATAGAGCAACTGGATGGATCAATCTCAAAGGCAACACATGGTGTTTGGTAACAAAGGGAAGAGACAGAATGAGATATGTAACTTCATGCTGTTTTTATAGTTTAGAATACATCTCTGAAGCTGGTACACATTTTATATAACACCCATCAAAAGGCAGGTAAGCATGATTGATGGTTGAGGGGGTAGGAAACAGGATGGGGGAGAAGTACAAAGGGGGCTTGCACAAGCCAAGGAAGATAATGGTGCCAATCCAACCCCAGTGTAAGGTGTAGTTCTTTATATGGAAAATGGTGCATCTATCAGCTTCCTAACATTATCACAAGCAAGGTGCCTAAGAGAATGGTCACTAAAATGTTCATAATGATTATCTCTGTGTTTTTCTCTGTATGGAATTGGCAAAGGATATTTACTTTCTTCTTTCAACTTTTTTCTCTTTCCATTTCTTTATTTTTACATATTTTATTATTTGAAATTATTTCCACTTTTTATTATTTGAAATTATTTTTACAATAAAGCTTAAGTTTGAGTTTTACAAAAACAATATAGGGCCTCCCTCGTGGTGCAGGGGTTAAAGTCTAAGCACTGACAAGCTATCCCCAGCCACTGTGAGTTCGAGTCTCCTGTCTTGTCCGCTGCTCCCTTCAGCAGTGTACTTCAAATAGATCTGCCTGTTCTGCTCCCCACTCTTCCTCTTGTGAATTCTCTTACCCCCCTGCATCTCTGGCTTCCACCCCAGTTTTTGTGTACATAAATAAAAAAATACGTAAGTATTTTTAAATACCCACATGAAGTTTGCATTGTATTCCATGACACATCTTTAATTGTTTTAAGTGCAAGGAAACTCTTTATTGAGATAAAATTCAGATATCATAAATTTACCCTTTTCAGGTGTACAACTCAGAACATCTTTATCACCACCACCAAATAAACTTTGTGTTCATCAGCAGTCACATCCCATCTTTTTTTTTTTTTAAGATTTATTTTATTTCTACAAGAACCAGGGTACAGGCCAGATGCGCGGGAGGGTGAGCGGATTCATCAGAGACAGAGCGGGGAACAGAACAGGCAGACTGATAAAATACACTGCTGAGGGGAGCAGCGGGCGAGACAGATGTCTGCTTGCCACATGGGTTAGCTCCCTGGCCGGTAGGGATCGAACTTGTGCCACAGTGGCTGCCCAAAGCTTCATAGTGCCCAGACTTAACCCCTTGCACCACCAGGGAGGCCCCATTAAAATGGCGGGCACCTGGAGTAGGGTATTGTAGGTATTGTGGGTATTTTGGGCATGTGTAAGTGGGTACACCTGGGCTAAGACTGGGCTTCTAAGGGCAGCGTAACAGGGATGCCAGCGGAGCAAAAAGAATGAAAGAGAGACCAGAAGGGAAACAAGTGAGAGAGCAGCGCCAGCAGAGAAGCAGAGGCCACAGGAGAATGCCCGAGAGCCCAGGAAAAGTGAAGGTTCTCCCAGAGGGATGGGAGGGCTGCTGGCTCCCTGACTTCTCCCCCCACATCCCGCTGCCCACCGCCCTGGCTGCCTGCTGTTTACCTGGTATAAACTCAATAAAAGCCTGCAAAAGCCACCAAGGGCTCCAGGACTCCTTTACCCATCTGCTCAGGTCATAGAGATCCTTCCCTGTGTTCTTCCTTGTACTACAGACCCTGAAGCTGAGAGGGTTAAAGACACAGCTCTATCAAGCTATTGCCAGCCACTGCAGGACTTCAATCCCTCTCAGCATTTCTCTGGCATTCTCCTCTCAAGTTTTAAATTTCCACTGGGGAAAGGGAACCACCAGTGAAATTAAGGCTTAAAATTCTGTAGAATAATTATCCAGGGGCTTTGCAGACCCTCATCACAGGACTCCTCACCACTTTGAGGAGCTCAGATTGTCCCCAGCATTTGTAACAGGGTGTCCCCCAGGAAAAGGGCAAGTTTCAGGTTTCCTGCCCCATCAAAAGGAGGGTGGAGCTGACCAGGAAAAAGAAGCTGGAGAAGAGACTAGGGAAGGAAGGAAACAGGATGCAGAGCCAGAAGGAGACCTGAAGGAGGCACATGGAGCAGAGAGACATGTGAAGAAACTGCGCTTGCTTTTTGTTCCTGGACTGCCTGAAACAGATGTGGGTGAGAGACCCGTGGGGAAGTGACAATGGCACCTTTTATTTTGATTTTGATTTTGCTCTTTTCCTTCCAGACTTGTCTGGCTGTTTCTAATCCTTTTCTGTGGGTCCCTGCTGAAAGGTGCTTTAGACTTGTGGCAGGCTTTTGGGCCTTGCTCAGGGCCAATCCCTTTTTGGTGGACATTTACCCATGAGGGGACAGGTAACTTTGGGTGCTTGATTTAGAAACTATATTCTTTGTCTTTTCTGTAGTGTTTACTAATTGTATTAAAGTTCTTTCCCATTAAAGTCTCATATGTTTTGTGTTGATGGGGTGGATGGCAGAACTTATTTAGAGCAGGCAGGTTTGGGGTTTCTGGGGTGCCCCTCTCCCTGCCTGTAACACATTGACAATGAGGAAAATGAGATTTTTAAAGCTTAGGAAACTGCTCTAGGTTACACAGCTGTATCCAATGTAGAATGATAGTGTAGGGTAAATGAGTTAAAAATAGGGCTTTTTTCCGACCTCCCACCATGAGCCTCTC